ATATATATCAGATTATATATATACATAACTCCTCATGCTTCATCTGGAAGGCCTTTTAGTGACCAGTTTTGTCAACATTAATTAACGGATATCGGTCATTGTGCATTTTATTCTTCTGTATTGTAAGAAATCCTGATATTACTGTAAATGTGTAAACGAGATAAATCAGGAACAACAAATCTATGTGAGAAACTTTGTATGCATGTAGATGACACTTAAAAAGACTTCATTAAAAGCTGGCCTATGCGCAGAAAGTCTGTTTTCTTTTTTTAACATTTGACTAAAAATAGAGGTGTGAATGACACATTTCAGCCTCATGTATGCATCACACCCAAATGTTTCACACTTTGGTTTTCTTTTCTCAGCACATTCATCTCGAATATGACTGCTGATGTCCTCATTTTGTGACTAACATTTAAAACTGATGCTGACAGCAACAATGCAGTCTCATTTAAACTCCTTAAGATTATTTTTACATTTAAGTACAAAGTTTGTGCTTTCCAAATCAGAAATCACTCTTTTCAGCAGTATGAGGCTGTCACCATCAGGCTTTAAAGTACATAGATTTTAAGACTTAAAGATGGATTAGAGTAGGCTTTTGTTGAGTTAAACCAGTTTTCTCCCCAAAAAGTTAAATAAAATTACGGTGATACTTCTTTTAGACATCTATGAAGTAGGGTTTTATAGAAATGTTATGAACAAAAGATATTTTACCTGTTGTAGATAGCTCTTTGAGTCAGAGACTCTTTACTGTCATTCGCACCACATGTGGTACATGTGGTGGAGCGAAACTATGTACACAGTCCCAGTTACACCCAACAATAAAATGTAAAAGAAAAACAATGATAACATCTAAGATGTGAACTAAGAAAAACATCAACTAAAATATAGTAAGCACTAATAGCATAAAAACATTATGTCGAACAACAGCACGAACATGAACATGAGTCTGTGTGAGCAGATGAGCACGCATGAACACATCAACATTGTAACAGATCAGCAGCAACATGATGTGATTTTTTTCACAGTGATTATTCTGGTTAGAGATTCATGAGTCTAACAGCCTCAGGGTAGAAGCTGTTCCTCAGTCTAGTGGTTCTACAATTAATGCTCCTCAGCCTCCTTCCTGAGGAGAGCGGGGCAAAAAGTGTGTGTGCTGGATGAGTGAGGTCCTTCATGATGCAGGTGACCCTCTTCCTGCATCTGGAGGTGTAAATGTCTGTGATGGTGGGGAGACTTGACTCCGACAGATTTCTGTGCAGCCTTCACCACTCTCTGCAAAGCTTTTCTTTCTGCAGCTGTGCAGCCTCCATGCCACATGTTGATGCTCGAGCACAGGATGCTCTCCACTGCATACCTGTAAAAGGAGGTGAGGACTGAGCTTCCCAGACCAGCTCGTCTCAGCCGCCTGAGGAAGTAGAGTCTCTGATAAGCGTT